TAGACACTGGAGAATATAGAAGGTGGGAGTGGGGTGAGGGTTGAAAAAATATTATGGCGTACAAAATATCACTATTGGGGTGATAGGTATTACTAAAGCTCAGATTTCCGCACGATGCAATATATGGCACATAAGAAATCTGGCACTTCTGGTCGGGGCGCGCGCGGTGGCTGTCCGCCTGATAATCGCCAGCAGCTTTGGGAGGGCCGAGGGCGGGACGGATCACGAGGTAGGAGATCGAGACCATTGGTGAAACCCCGTCTCTACTAAAAATTTGTTAGAAACAATGTAGCCGGCGCATGCGGCGCCTGTGTCCGCCTACTCGACTACGAAATGCGTGAACCCGGAGTCGACTTGCATAGCCAGATCGCCACGCACTCCGCCTACAGAGAGATCCGTCTCAACAAAAAAAAAAAAAAAATATAGAAAAAATTAAAAAAGCAGAAATTAAAAAAAAAAATTGCATTCTTGCAGCGCGGTGGCTCAAGCTCTATCAGATTTGACCGATGGCGATATGACTTCAGGATCGAACCTCTGGCTCACACAAGTGAAACCCCCCCATTTCTACTAAATGCAAAAATTTTGGCCGAGTGCGCACTGTCGTCGCCGCTTACTCATGAGCAGCTAGAATGGGTAACCCGGGAGCCAGCTTGCAGTGAGCTGAATCGCCTGCCTCCAGCCTGGGCAACGAGCGAGGAACCCGTCTCAAAAAAAAAAAAAGGAAAGAAATCTGGCACTTCTGGCTGGGCGTGGTTGGCTCACGCCTATAATTCAGACTTTAGGGCGGCAAGGAGGGTGAATCACCTGAGGTCAGGAGTTCGAGACCAGCCTGACCAACATGGAGAAACCCAGTCTCTACTAAAAGTATAAAATTAGCGGAACGTAGTGGTATGCGCCTGTATTCCCAGCTACTTGGGAGGCTGAGGCAGGAGAATCACTTGAATTTGGGAGGCGGAGGTTGCAGTAAGCCAAGATCGCACCACACTGCACTCTAGCCTGGCAATGGAGCAAGACTCTGCCTCAATCAATTAATCAATCAATCAGTAAAAAATAAGGACAGGCGCAGTGGCTCATGCCTGTAATCCCAACACTGGGAAGCCAAGGCGGGTGGATCACCTTAAGTCAGGAGTTCGAGACCAGCCTGGCCAAAACAGTAAAACCCCATCTCTACTAAAAATACAAAAATTATCCAGGTGTAGTGGCGGGCACCTGTAATTCCAGCTACTCAGGAGGCTGAGGTAGGAGAATAGCTTGAACCTGGGAGGTGGAGGTTGCAGTGAGCCGAGATCAAGCCATTGCACTGCAGCCTGGGCAACAAGAGTGAAACTCCATCTCAATAAACAAACAGGCTTTGTGTTTGATGATTTTTCCCAACTGTAAGCTAGAGTGTTCTGAGCACATTTAAGGTAGGTAGATGGCCGGGCATGGAGGCTCACACCTGCAATCCCAGCAATTTGGGAGGCCAAGGTGGGCAGATCACAAGGTCAGGAGTTCGAGACCAGCCTAGCCAATATAATGAAACCCTGTCTCTACTAAAAATATAAAAATTAGCCAGGCATGGTGGCAGGCACCTGCAGTCCCAGCTACTCGGGAGGCTGAGGCAGGAGAATCGCCTGAACTCAGGAGACAGAGGTTGCAGTGAGCTGAGGTCACACCATTGCACTCCAGCCTGGGTGATAGAGCAAAACTCTGTCTCAAAAAAGTGGTAGGTAGATGACCTTTGGCAAGTTATGTGTATTAAGTACATTTTCAACTTATGAGTGGTATATCAGCACATCACCCCATTGTAAGTTGAGGAGCATCCGTACTCTATTCTAACCTTTATCATAAACCCATCTAGTGACTGCTTATTTACATGTCTATATTACCCACTAAATTCTCTGTGTACTGGCATCAGATCTTATTCACAGCTATGTCCCCAGGGGCTAGCACTGTCTGGCACATAAAAGCATTCATGAGGCCGGGCGCGGTAGCTCACACCTGTAATCCCAGCACTTTGGGAGGCTGAGGTGGGCAGATCATGAGGTCAAGAGATCGAGACCATCCTGGCTAACACGGTGAAACCCTGTCTCTACTAAAAAAAAAAAATACAAAAAATCAGCCGGGCGTGGTGGCAGGCGCCTGTAGTCCCAGTTACACGGGAGTCTGAGGCAGGAGAACCCAGGAGGCGGAGCTTGCAGTGAGCCAAGATCGCACCACTGCACTCCAGTCCGGGTGACAGAGCGAGACTCCATCTCAAAAAAAAAAAAAAAAACAGGCGGGCGCCAGTGGCTCAAGCTCGTAGACTGCCCAGCCACTTCTTGGAGGGGCGCAGACGGGC